TCTCGCACTGCGCCCTAAGAATCCTAAATAGTTCAAATTTAGGTGAAGGGACACGCAGATCAGGCACTAAAAATCAGAAGCTGTGTTTGAAAATAAGCCCAGGAAAACTCAGGATTTGAGGACTTGTGCCTTGCTGGAAGGTTCAGATCACTTCTGGTTTCTTCACTGTGCCTGTGACGACTAGAAAAACCAAGAGCGGAGGCAGAGGTGGAGAGGAGCCGCAGCGTTCCTGACGGAGCCTCGTCTCTTCCTCCCCTGTACTTGCATGGGGGACAAACCTTTCGTTGTCACATCTCTCAGTAACGCACCGTTGCTCTCTTCCTCTGCAGACCCATGAGAACCGTGAGCATCTCGTCATGATGGAAAAAATCCTCGGGCCAATTCCATCTCACATGATCCACAAAACCCGGTAAGAACCTCTTCCGGATCTCAGACAGTCTGGTCAACTGTTTGCGGCTAATTCTCTGTCCTCACACAGCTTCTCTCCCTGGGAGAGATGTGCTGGAAGTACATCCCACGAGTAGCCTTACGGAACACCACCTTTTCTCTTCAGGAAGCAAAAATATTTCCACAATGGGAACCTGGTATGGGATGAGAACACGTCCGATGGGAGATACGTCCAAGAGAACTGCAAGCCCCTGCGGGTAGGTGCTGCTCTGTGGAGGGCTGGCTGGGTTGTTCCCTTTTCCAGATCAGCAGCACGGGGCTTAGGGATGGGAATTTACCTTAAAAACTGGCTTTTACACAGCCCCAAACTCCCACCCGCAGGACAGGTACTGAGGAATCAGGATGGGAGACAGCCCTTACCTCGCTGTACATCACAAAACGAGGGCCGAGGCTTCAGTCCCCGTCCCTCCCTCTGCCCCCTGCCCTTCTCTTTCAGACATACATGCTGCACGACTCGCTGGAGCACGCACAGCTCTTCGATTTGATGAGGAGGATGTTAGAATTCGACCCTTCCCGGAGGATCACGTTCTCAGAAGCCCTCCTACATCCTTTCTTTGCTGGCCTCTCCGCAGAGGAGAGGATGCTGTGCGGTCGAGGCCGGGACCTGAGCAGATGACGGCCGGGAAGGGTGCGATGCCTGCTGGATTTGTACATACGGGATCGGTCCAGCCTCTGCAGTTCAGCCCCAGGCACTCTCTCAGAGTTCAGAGGGGCTTGGGGCACTGCGACAAGGACACTAGGGAGGGGAAGAAAAGCTCCATTGGAAAGCACAGATTTGTCTATTTATATGTTGTAAAGTTAAAATAAAGTGTTTCTTATTGTTTGATACTTCCCTTGTAGGCAGGTGTAGGGTTCTCTTGCTCCCAGCTTTGCCTTTTCTGCAAAGGAAGACAGAGATGTTGAAAAAAAAAAAAATTTAACTGGAAACTAAACAGCGGGAATCTTTGCTTCACTGGAGGGTAAAAAGACTGAACTCTCCCTGGTCTCTGCCCTTGCTCCTCTGATGGGCACGGAGCGGCAGGAAGACTTGTTCCAGCTGTGGTGTCAGGCTCTAGAACAATAGCAGAGAAATAAATGGCTGCACACAAATAGCACGCATGAATAGTTGCACTTTATTTCAGGACATCCCCCAGTAGCGGCAGGAATTAGTCGTTACAAACATTAGGTCACAAATGGAGTATCAAGCAGTGACATAAGTGCAGTGATCTTCACATGTTAGTGACCAGAGCAGCACTCGTGGGCAGTTCCTATGATGGTGGTTAAGGTTGTGGGTAGAAACTAGCTCAAACACAGACCAAGAAAAATAAAAAAGTGTTCCATTCTTTGAATTAACTCAGGGAAAGGGGAAGAAGGAACCCAGACCTCTTTTCTGGGTCTCAAGTGCTCCAGAAGAGCTCACACCTGCACATAAGATGCATTTTGTGGGGGCGAGGCCAGTACTTCCTCAAGTAAGCCTTTGCATCTGAGGCAAAGTACAGCCAGAGCCCCAAATCTAGTCTCACCTCCAGAAAGCGAGCACGCTGTACAGTTTAACTGTGCCAAACGCAGCCCAAAGCTGCCTGCTGTGCCCTAAACACTGTGCAGGTAGAGTTGGGGAATCCCTTCCTTATGGGAGGGTGCGTACCCTCCTGGTGGGCAACACTGCTCGCTTTATTCTTTTTTTTTTTTTGCTTAAAGACGGGGAACCGTATTGCTCCCCGGGGCCTTAGCGCTTCCTGGAGCTAGGCAGCAGCGAGTAGAGACCTGATCCCAGCTGCCATCCCCGCAAAAACAGCCTGAGCTGGTTCAGCACCCTCTCAGGCATGTAACTCCAGCCAGTGGCACAGGACCCCGCACCGAAGCCTCAAATATTTCTACGCGGTGACTGCTCAGCGCGTACAATCTATAGTTTTAATAGCCAAACCCAGAAGGGGCGAGAAAAGCAGAAATTGAAAGAGCAGGTTCTTTTATCGAGCGTCTTGAGCAAGGAAAAGTGAAAAGAAGGGGGCTAAAGCTAACACTGTGCTACAGCAATGACCAGGGGATGGCCATCCACCTTTTTTTAACCCAGCTGCAGGTCCTCCGCCTGGCTGAAAGAGCCAAAGAAACAAGAAAGGCATTCAGTCGTCCAACCCTCAGCGGGGAAAAGAAGCTCGGGGGAATACCAGGCAGGGGTCTAGACACCGAGAGGGGCAGAGCCCTTCGTCCTGCTGAGGTAGATTCGGCAAGGTGCAGGCGGTTTGGCAGGGGGAGAGCCCTCAGGCGAGCCCAGCGCTCACCAGCGCCCTTGTCCTTAGGTGCCACTCCCCACTTCCAGGCAATATTAATTACTTCTTTTTTCAATGGGGGAAGTCTCTTCCCTCCTCCTTTGATACACTCGGCCTTTGTTCTAAGCAGATGAAGAGACAAGCGCCAGGCTGCAAATCCTCACCCCTCGGAGCACAAGTGGATCAATGCATTTGCTAAGCAGAGCACAGCAACAGCTGAAACAGTAGGTGACCGTGTCCCACGCATCCCTGCGCTTCAGCCTCAAGAAGGGATCCAGCTCCCCTGGGGAAAAAAGCTCTGTTTGAAGCTCTGAAGTTCTCCCAGCTGCAAGGTTTAGGAACCAGAGGAGGAGCAGAGCTTCAAGCGCTGCCCGCGCTCCCGGCCCAGGGAGCAAGCAGAGCGCTGAGCGCCTCTTTGCAAGAGCAGAGCCCCGACTGTGCATCTGCCTGGTTCCCCCGACGGAACAGCTCGCCTTTACTGCACCTCCTGCATCGCTCCAGGTTCACGGGAAGCCAGCGCAGCACAAGAGCAGTTAGAGCGACCCAGGGCAGATCCCCAACAGTAATTCACACAAGAACCTCTTGCTGTACCCCTCCAGGAGGGCAGCAGCTCTCACCACACCATCTCCTGCAGGCAAACAGGACCCAAATCCTTCCTCGAGCTGGTTCCCGGCACACAGACACACGCACAGAGCCAGCCATATACACAGGCTTCGAGCCCGAAGGGAACGAACGGGATCCATGACCTACTTCCCAAACCCCACCGAGCGTAGGAGGGATACTGGAAGCGCTGGGAGAACTCACCCAAACATCACCTGCACCATACACCACGCAACAAAACTCAGGGTGACGCTGCCCTGCTTCGCTATCCTTTCCCTGATTCAGCCCCTCACCGTGCCAGAAAGAAAGAAAAAAAATAAATGCAACTATCCTGGAAAAGTTCTTTCCCAAAACACACCTCGTTCCCATAGACCTGGGCTTCACCCACTAAGCGAACGAACAAAAAAGCCAACAGAGTATATAAGCAAGTAAGGCCTAGCCGGGGACATCGGTGTTCCCAGAGCATGTGCGACCCGAGAGCGTCCGGCTCTTGACACAAGCTTTCCGAAAGAGGGAACGCTCTCCTTGAGGGGCTGGAGGGTCCAGGAGGGACAGCGAGCTTCGACTGCCTTCAGGAACGTAAAAAAAAAAAAAAACCCAAACCAAAAACGAGGGAGGGGGAAGTCAAAAAGAACAACGGAACAAAACCAAATCCTCCCTCCTGGTACGACTGCAACAGAAGGTATTTCTACATAATCAAGGGGTGCTGTTCCCACCGGGGTGCCCTTCCTGGGTCGATCTGCCCAGAAGGACCAAGAAACACGTCCCAAATCTCCAAACCGCCCATCCCTCGTACCACCTTCACGCACACCCCATCATTAAACAGCTTCCCGGCCGGGCCCAGACAGCAGCGGCTGCGACAGACAGCATCTTCCTGCGTGTTCCTTCATACAATGGCACAAGAGAATGAAAACAGCTTTGCAGGAACATTCGCTTCCTCCTTTTTTTTTTTTTTCATTTTACGATTTTTTCTTTTTTTTTTTTTTTTTTTTTTTCTTTTTCTAAATACACAATGTTTCTTCTGGAATGAAAACTCTCCAGAACTTCACATCCTTAAGGCGTCACGAGTTTACTAGTCAGGATCCACTGGACAGCTTATTTGACAGACCTCCTCCCTTCTCTCTTCGCTCCCTTCGGAGCCGTCTGGCTGGCTGGGCTCTAAGTAGAGTGCAGGGGGATGACAAATTTGCAGCCGAAGGGCGAGTGGTAATTTATTCCCACTTCTTGAAAGACCTTCTGGGGAATGCCAATGTCACAGAGGTACACGCGCCCTGCCCTCTCGCCCAGGGGCAAGGGCAGGCCCAAGGCCAGCGACCACTTGGCGTCGATGCCCTGCTCCATTTCGTTTATCGGAGGGTCTATGCTGAGGACGGGTGCCCGGTTCTGGTTGGCCCAGTCCACAACCGCTTTGTACCAAGGCTGATCTCTCAAAAAGGCATTTTCGTGACAATCCAGGCAGTTGATCACAAGGTCAACGGGGGTATCGGGGAGATCTGAAAGAAACACGAACACCGTTGAGCGCTGAGGATCGGCCTGAAACCAGGAACAGGAGTTCCTTAGCCTTCCCGCCTCGCACTGCCCGGCAGATAATTCTTCTCCCCCCCCGCCCTCCAGCACCCACAGTCTCACTGCAAACAGTCCGGCCTTACCTGTTGTTATTGCCGTCCTTCTGCAAAAAGACACCGACATTTAAAAATCTCTTTTTAGCATTCTGGAGGACATTCACAGACTCTCAGGTACAAAATTTCATCAAGCGGTCAGCACTTGAGCAGCCCGAGATGCCGCCGCTGAGCTGGCTCGCCAGTCCAGGCAGCCCAGGGAAGCAGCGGCGCTCTCTCTTCATTATAAAAGGATTATTTTATATTCCGCAAGCTGAAAAAAAAGGCCTATTTCTTCTGGAAGACGCCGACTACCTCCGCTATGGAAAGGCAACTCGTGTGCTGCACTGAGCTCCGTCGGTCTCACCGCGCTCCCCTGCTCTGTACCACATCTGCCGCATTCCTCTTACCTGACAGACCACAAAGTCCTCGGCACAAGGACTCCTCTTTTATAACGGGCAAGTAGCTCAACCAGCGCAGCCCCCCCCTCCCTGCCACAACGCAAACCATCGTGCAGTGCCCCGATTCCCAGGTTTGTTTCTCCCAAGAAGTTTAGATTAAACAGGTTTGAAAATACCACTGGTGAAACGACAAACAGAAGGCAGCTGTCTCACAGATGAGCATCGGTTTATTCTGAGAGATCTGAATTTTGACAGCTGCTGGGGCTAGTTCAGCAAAGCTGCCTGCTTGGTTTGAAGCAGATGCTCATTTCCTTGCAGTTTCGATACGCTGAACAACGACGGCCCTTATCCTAAGAGCACGGCCGGTCTGACTCAGATCCATACAGCAGCTCTTCCGTATTTGTTCATACAGGAAACATCTGTACCAGCACAACCGCTCCACTGTTGAACCTCTCCAGTCTCTGCCGTCCTGACCAGCCACCTCCCTATGGCAGTGCCACTAGATGGTGCCACCGGACCGGGCTGGCACTGGGGAACCGAGCTGCGCAGGTCTCTGCGAGGCGCGAAGACGGCCGAGAGCAGATCTGCTCTTCGCTCACTCACCTTTGACGCTGGACACTTGCTGGCCTTGCGTCTTGCTGAAAAGGTTCAGCTCGTTGGTGATGGATTCCAACATCTTGACGAAGTTGGGAAGGAAAAGGATGACGTGGACGTCGTGGTTGGAGAGGTGCCGGCCGCAGCTGATCCCCTGGGCCCCCTTCACGTGAGGGC